GGAGTTTTATCGAGTCTAGCGATAAATCACGCGTGTTTTAAGTGAATTGAGATTTTTGTAGATGATGGATCTTGATAATATTTCAGTGTTTTCTTGTTTCATTAAATTCATCTGTCGAGAAGAATATAATGAAGAAAATTTCGAACGAATCTTGAATGAAATTCGTGCTGTTGATGTCACAGATAATATTAGAAATTAATGATCAGCTGAAAATTAAGAAGATTTCATCGATATATTAAACTCTACACGAGAAGTGAATTTAGCATTAAGAGATCGAAATTATTGAAAAGAAACTGTCGTGTATCAGTTTCAAGATAATTTGTGCAATTTGATGCGAATGAGGAAGTTAATTAGTCGTTGAAAAACTGTAACGAATCACGTGGCAATAACTTTAATACTTCGTGCAGATAAAACTACGTGCATGTGTTTGAAAAGACATTATCGTATGCGATAATCCGACAAACTTATATAAATCATGCAACTATTAAATCGTAAATGAATTCATTCGTATAAAAGTACTTGGAAAGCGTTGCAATCTCTCAGAGACAGATAAATCCTATTTAAACACGTAGTAAAATATTAAAAATTAAATATTTGAAAAAATAATAAGATCAGTAGAATTTAAATGCTTCGTTATTTTAAACCTTTAAATTTTATATTCGCGCCGCATAGATCAATTCCCAGCGACGAAGAGACGATCCATCGATCTCCAATAAATTTCCCCGTACGCGAAAAATACAGAAGAGGTACACTCGAGTTGGTGTTTTAAAGTGCACCTTATTTGGCGAAATACTTCCTGTCGTCGTCTAAAGAGACTCGGTCCTTTCTCTTTCTCTTTCTCTCTGTTTGCACGCCGTTGCATTATTCGCTGGTTCGTCGAGTGCTCATGAATAATGACTCGAGCGAAACGGTAGAGGGAACAAATTATTTCTTGTGTCGTCAGGGAGCGGCAACGTGAGCATTGACAAATTACTTTCAGGCGAACGTGTTTCGAGATAGAAAACTAAACTATCGTTTTACCATGCGCCCGCACGATAGATTAACTTTTTAACAAACACTCCCGCTGAGTTGCTTAACTCAATAACCAACGAGTAGCAATAATCTATCGCGAATTTTTAGGCATTGAATGCATCGTGTTGTATTTTTTACGTTCTCTAAATCAATGATACGTCGCACGTAAGTGTATGAAAAATCCTTCGCTATCTACGATCAAACAAATTCTTGGAATTTCGTAATTCTTCGAAACTCGTAACAATGCAACAATGCAAAAAGAAAGAAAGAAAGAAAGAAGAACGTTGCTTCTAACACAATGTTGGCCGTGTTAATTTCAGCTCGATCTTTCGACACTCTACGATTGTTACTCGTGCGAGAATCGTTTGATTACTTTTCAATGGAAACGATTGTAAACGTTCCGCAGGATGTTCCGCGGGAGGCAAGAACGTTGAATCGTGATTCACTACGAAAGGAAGGTCTCTGTGGGAAAAGAAGAAGAAAGTTACTCGCTGTCGCGTAGAAACGCTTTTTCCCCTTTCTGAAAATGCCTAGTTTTTAGCAGCGGGTTTTCGCGGAGGGAAACGGAAAGCTGTTTACTCCAACGTTAGAAGTTTTTTAATTGATCCGGAGGTCTCTCGCGTGGGCAAGCTTCGCTGCAAGGAAGTCGCCGCCGCCGCGAGGTTGAACTTTTTAATTAGTCGCAAGCTTTAAATAACGTCGCTTCTCAAACACACTTTCTTTCTTTTTCTACGACCGGAACAAGTTGAAAGAAATTAATGGTACACCGTTTTCGCGAAGCAAAAAAGCGACTGTTTTGCTCTCGCGTGTCCTTTGAAATGTACACGCGAGTAGCACGTATTTTTCTAAATTTTTTTTTTTTTTTTTTTTTTTTTTTTTT